TGCTCCCGCCCCCACCTCCACCCGCAAGAGGATGGATGCAATTCCTGGGTAGCAAACTCAGACCCTCTCAAAAGCCAGGCTGGATGGAGGAGATGAGAGAGGCTGCTGGGGTATGCGGGGTGTGTGATGCAGGGATGGGAGTTTGGGGAGGATGTTGGTCAGAGTATCTCCCACTTTTAACCCCTGCGGGTAAATGGTACTGTGTTTGCAAGCAGAAAGAGAGGCGGGAGCTTGTGGGCAGAGTCAAGGCCACAGATTATGCTTTATGATCCAGCACAATCTTTCCTGCTCAGGAGGGACCCGGAATTGGAACAGTGGATGTTGGCGGATTTCCAGTCAGGACTGAGGGGCATCTGCAGAGCTCAGTATGCACATACGAACCCCAGGGCTGGGATAGCAAAGGGCTGTGGAGTGGGATTGAGGAATCATCTCTCACCCTGTGTCCTGGAAGCTCTGCCATCCTTTTAGCCACTGTAATCCTCCCTTGGCCCTTGCTCTCCTCAGCCTAGGGTTTGCATTGATACTTTCGGAACCGGAGCCCTGTGGCTTGCTGCCTGGTAAACAACCAGTTTCAGTGGGCTCCCATGAGCATTTCTCAGAGTTAGGGTAAAGTGAATTAATTCACATAGGCAGAAAGAACATGGGTCTGGAAAGTCTGATATGTGCTACTATGGTCAAGCTGCTTCTCTGTGCCTCAGTTTCCCTCTTAAGAAATGGGGATAGTGCTATGGAGGAGGAGGTTTGACAAGACCTTCTCAGAGCAGCCTGTGGGCAGCCTGTGAGGCCCAGGGTTGGCCCTCCATGCTTAGTGATTCTATTTCCCCTCAGCTCAGCCACTATGAAATGGCTCTTTTCAGCTGGGAGCATTTCCTCTAAAGGTGACACTGGGTCTGGTAGCACAACCTGAGCCTAGGATCATATGACCCAACCAAGCCAGGCATTCTTCCCACAATGCAATGAGGCAAAGGCCTCATTATGCGCTCCCTACCAGTCCTCTTCCGACCCACTTCCATGCATTCATTGCTTCTGCTCCCAAGTAGGATGGGTCTCAGTCCTCCCCCTTGCCATTTCCACTGGCCTTGGTGAAGGGACTCTGCAATGCTGGCGCCCTCTGGTGTCTGCTTGAGCCCGGATCGACAACTGATTTATCGCAATTATGATTACTAATTATTTGTATTGCAGTAGTGCAGAACAAAAGGACGGTGCCTGCTCCAATCTAAGTAAATTTTAGATCAATAGACAATTATTCTCATCTCACCTCAAACCTGTTGCCAAAAAGGGTAATGAAAATTCAATATCCCAAGCACAAAATCTATTTGCCTGAGGGCAATTACAAAAATGGTCTCCCCACTCCCACCCCACCCCAAAAAATCCCCGTCCTGGGGAAATGGATGAAGAGGGTGTTGCAGCCTGCAGTAAATGGCAGCTGACAAGCAGAGTTATTAATTATTTTTGTTAAGATTCTAATAGGATCATTTTGAACCCCGCTCTACATTTAGATAGCAAGATGAGTAAAATAATCTAGCCCCTTTGGAATTATGAATGGGGAAACTGAAGCACAGAGAGGCAAAAGGACCTGCCTGAGTTCGCCAGCCATTTGGGATCAGATACAGAGTTCCTAATTCCCAGTCCCATGTCTGCTTTTTAGTAATTTGCAGCTACGCTGAACCTTTCACTCCACCGTGCTGCAGAACTTCTACACACAGAACACTCCTGCGATGCCACTGCCTCTTGGGTGGAGCATGGTAATGAGTTCAGGGGTCACTGAGGCAAATGCCAAGTGCCAGGGGATTTTAAGTCTTTGGACACACGGGGATTAGTACAACTGGGGACACTAGGAACTGTGAAGCTGATGCTTAGGGGCTGAAGCCATTGCCAGGAGTAAGAACAGCAACTGAGAGGCCTTCCAAACCCTGCGTGGTGTCAGCCCATCATTAGCTGGGCCCACTCCCCAGTTCATCTCCTGCCCTCCTCTACAACCTCCCTGCTTTATCCATCACCCTCCTTTACAACTCCTCCCTGTCTTCCCTCCTCTCCCACCCCCTTTCCTGGTCCCCTCTTTTCCCCCTGTGCCTTCTCCTCCTCCCACTTCCCTCTTCCCCTATGTCCTCCCCTCCCATCCCCGCCTGCCCTCCCAGTGGTGCTGGAACAGTTTTTAGAGTGGAGGTGCGCCCTCCTTACACCTGTCTGCACCCCTCACCGCCCGCTGGGGCTGGGAGCAGGGCCTTCAGGAGGGGGGCCTTGGATGGGGCAAAGGGGTCGAAGCTGGGGCCACAGCTGGGGGTGGAGCCCTGGGCCAGGGGTGGGGGTGGAGCCCTGGGCCAGGGCCAGGAGCCGAGGCCCAGCTGCAGAGCTGGCAGCCTGGACCCTGGGTGCAGGGCCAGGAGCAGAATTCCAGGCGCGGGGCTGGCAGCCAGGACCTCATGTGTGGGGACGGCAGCTGGAACCCCGAGTGTGGAGCTGGCAGCAGAGTCCCTGGGTGCAGGGCCAGAAGCTGGGACCGGGGCCAGCAGTGGAGCCCCTGTGTGCGGGGGCAGCAGCCAGGACCTGGGACTGGCAGCCGAGACTAGCAGCGGAGTCCCTGGGCACGGGGCCGGCAGTTGGGACCCCACGCAAAACCTGGGGGTGCTGCAGCACCCCCTGCATCCCTTGTTCCCGCACCTATGTGCCCTCCTCTCCCCTGCTTCCCCTTCCCTCCCAGTATCCTCCCCTTTACCTCTCCTCACACTACACACTCCCCTTACCCCTCCATCATACACACTCCACTTTCATCCCCTTTTTCTGCTTGCCTGTAGGCAGGGACATAAGGAGGCAAAGTAGAAGGGGAGGAGTGGCATAGGGATGAGGCATGGTAAAATATGGAGGGAGCATGGGGGCATATGGATGAGGTGCAGGGGGCATAAACAAAGGGGGCATGAGGGATGCATTTTGGAAGTGAGGGCATGATGTGCAGAGAGGGAGCATGGCGAGGGGCATGGGGATGTTAGGTTTTCAGGAGGGGACTTCAGGTGGTCAGAAAGGGATATGGGGCTTTGGGGAAGGGGCATAGAAGGGAGGCATGGGTTGCTGGGGGCATAAGGAGGGGAAACGGGGGCATTGGGTGGGGGCATCAGGTTGGGAGGAGGAGATCCAGGGAGGGGGCATGAGGGTTCATAGACTCATAGTTTAACCCAGAAGGGAACATTAGTCTGACTTCCTGTACATAACAGGACATTAAATCTCACCAAGTTACCCCTGTACTGAGCCCAATAACTTGTTGTTGACTAAAGCATCTTCCAGAAAGGCAGCCAGTCTGGATTTGGAGACATCAAACGATGGAGAATCCCCCACTGCCCTCTGGAGTTTTCCCTCCTCACCCATCCCCACTGTGAAACATTGGTGCCTTATTTCTAATTGGAATGTGTCTAACTTTAACTTCCAGACATTGGTTCTTGCTCTGCTTTTCTTCGCTAGGCTAAAGAGCCCTTTAATACCTGGGATATTCTCTCCCTGAAGGTGCTTATACACTGTTTTCAAGTCACCTCCCAATTTTCTTTTTGAGAACCTAAATAGATTGAGCTCCATAAGTCTCCCCTATACGACATTTTTTCGAGCCTTCAAATAATTTTTGTGGCTCTTTTCAGCACCCTCTCCAATTTTTCAACATCCTTTTAAAAATTTGACACCCCAAACTAGATGATGTACTCCAGTCTCACCAATGCCATATACAGAGGTAAAACCATCTCCCTGCTCCTACTCACTGCTCCCATTTTATACATCCAAGGATTGCATCCTATTGGCCCTCTTTTTAATCCTAGCATCACACTAAGAGTTCATGTTGAGTTGTTTGTCCACTACAACCCCTAAATCCTTTTCAGTGTCACTGCTTTCCACGATACCGTCCCTTACTCTGTAGGGATGGCCTGCATTACTTTTTCCTAGATGTATAACTTTGCATTTGTCTGTATTGAAACACATTTTGTTGGGAGGGGCCCAGCTTACCAAGCAATCCAGATTGCTGTGTAGGACTGTCCTCCTCATTCCACTCATCATACTACTCCAACAATCTTTGTGTCATTTGCAAATGTTATCAGTAGTGGTTTTATATTTACTTGTTCCAGGTCATTGATGGAGATGTTGAATAGCATTGGACATAGTAGGAGTGTGTGGGGGTGTAGGGAAAGGGTGTTGAGATGGGGTCAGGGGCATTGATTTGGGCTGAGGTGTCACAGGAAGGCATCAAAGGGGCATTGTGTTAGGGTCTTGGGGGCATTGGGTCTGGGGCCACAGGAAGTGTTGGGTTGGAGTCAAGGGCACAGGGAGAGGGAGCAGTTGATGTTGGGCTGGGGTCAAGAGGGCATTGGGTCTCAGTTACAAGGGCTGTTGGGTTGGGATACAAGGAGGTGGCATCAGCATCAGGAGTGCGGGGATGGATTTGGATCAAAGCGTGCGGGGAGAACTGGATCAGGGTCAAGGACATGGGGGCATTGAGCAGGGATGTAGGAACACTGGTGGGCCAGGAGACATGGGGGCATTGGGCAGGGGCACAGAGAGGGGAGTGGGGGTATTCAGTCAGGGGGTGCAGGGAGGGGTATGATGTCAGTGTGTTGGGGCAAGGTCAGGGGTTACAGGGAGGCAGTACAGGGAGGGGAGGGGGCAAATACAGGATGGGGGACAGAGTGGAGGGGTCATTCACCCCATAGGGTGGGGACATGTCCAGAGAGGGGAGCTTGGGCAAGGGGAGTGGTCTCTCTTGGCGCCCACACCAAGAGGGGAGGGATGCTGGGCTTTCACGCGACGCCACTACCCAATCAGAGGAACGCTGTCCTCGCGCCGACCGTTGGGCGCGGTCTCGACCGTTAGCCCGCCCCCCCCCCCCCCCCCCTGCGCCCCCGCCCGACCCCCCCCCCCGCGCGCCGGCGACTTGTGCGCGGTTCCGCGCTTGCGCAACATGTCCCTCCCTTTCCCCGATTTCCCTTGGCTCCGCGCCTGCGCAAAGTATTCCTCGCTGCCCCCTTGCCCCTTTCCTCTCCGTCCGCGGGCTCCACGCAGGCGCAGTGTGTGCCTACCGACCGTTTTCTGTTCCCCCTTCGCCCCCTCCCCCCTGTGGGTCCCCCCTCCCGCGGATTTGTGAGGAGTCGGTGGGGTCCCGCTTGTCGCCGCCATGGGGGTGAGTGAGGTCAGGGTCCCCTAGCCCCGGCGGAGGGACCAGGCCGGAAAGGGAGGGGAGAGGCCCGGGGTCAGGCGGGGGGATCCATGAGGGGGCTGTGAGGAAGGAAAGGTGCAGGTGGTCCTGGGGGGAGCATCCATGGAGGGGTTGTGAGGGGGTCTGGGGTTGGGGGTCCATGGAGGGTGTGAGGGAAGCCCCTGGGGTGTCACTGAGGGGGGTAGTTGGGGAACCAGGGATGGAGGAATTGGCGGATCATGAAGGGGGGTGTCTCTGGGGGAGCACACATGACGGAGTGTCCATGGGGGTGCCTGAGACCGGTGAGAAGGGGCTGGGGGAAGGTCTGTGGCAGGGGTGAGGAAGGTCCATGGGGACGTCTGAGGGGGGAGTTGGGAGGCCCATGGGGAGGTCCTGTGAGGTGAGAGCTGGTGGGGGGGGTCTGTGAGGGGGTAATTGAGGGGTCCAGAGAAGAACTTGGAGGGTGCATGGGTGTGACTGGGAGGAGTGGGGGACGGGGATGAGGTAGGTTGGGTTTCTGGGATGAGTCCATTAAGGTAGTCCAGGGAGAGGGGGTAGGATCTGGAGGGGGGCAACATAGATGTCATGGAGGGGGAGACTTGAGTGGAGGTGGGAGGGTGTCAAGGGAGAGTGTGAGCTTTGGGGAGGCACAGGGGTGGGAGACCTGAGGGAGGAACTGGGGATGGTCCATGGAGGGGGATCTGGGGAGGGGAGGTCAATGTGAGGGGAGAGCAGAGCATTGAGGAGTCTGAAGATCTAGGGATCAGAGATGGGAGAACAGTGAAAGTGGGAGCTGGGCAGTTCCATGCAAATGGGGAGACCTGGGAGTGGGGGCAGGGAGAGGGCTTCAGTGGGATAAGGGGGAAGTTGTGGATAAATGGTGAACAGGTGTGAAGAGATATATAGCAGGGAGAGGGTGATGATCTACATCCCCCTTGAGGATGGGAGGAGGTAATGGAGTGGGGGTCTGGATTCCCCTCGGATGGGAGGAGGCCATGGACTGTGCATTTACCTCTCTGCAGAGGGAGGGTGGCATACAGGGGCCTGGGGGTTGTAATTCTTCCCTCCAATTTATCATCATATTCAAGCCCTGCTCCCAAACACCCAACCTACTCCAAAGTACGAGGTGGCCATAGTGTGTCTGTGTGCACGCGCATGCATGCACACATGTCTGGGCTGTACATATGATGAACATACAAGTTAAAGAACATCTATCAGTAAATGTGTGAGAGATCCTGGCTACACTGCACTAATGTCAGTTCTCAATGGATGACATGACGTCTAATAGTTACGGGTGTGTGCTGGGTGTGTGGACTCCTGGGTTCTAGCTCTTGGAGGAGAGTGGTGTCGAGTGGGTTAGAGTGGATCCTATTTGCAGCTCTAGGATGGGAGCTGGGTCTAGTGGTTAGAATAGGAGGGAAACCAGGAACTGGTTACTTGCTGTGTGATATTGAGTCATATCACTTCCCCTCTGTGTGCCTTAGTTTCCCCATCTATGTAATGGGGAAAATGCCTACTTCACAGCAGTGAGGAGTTGGAAAGTGCTTTGAATGCCACTGTTGAAATGGGCTAAAGAAATGCAAAGCGTTATGAGCCACAACAAATTCTCTTCAGACCTGCTGCTAAAGATTTGTCTACACTCACATTATGCCACTTTAACTGTACCAGTATATTAAAGTAGTACATCCCCCTAATGTGGATGTAATTAGACCAATAGAAACATGTTTATACGGTAGAGTGTGTTGCCATATGGGAAGGGAAATAAGCTATACTGGTATAAGGCACCTTTGTTGTGGTATAATTGTGTCCACACTGCACTTGTACCCGTTTAAAAAAAAAAAATCACGACCCTAATGGAGAGGGTTACACTGAGTCTAAAAAAATTAATGCAAATGGGAGGATATTTATTGGAGCAAGCTCAAAAAATACCAGTTTATTTATTATTGGATTTCTGTGCTTTAAGAATACTTTTCCTTGTCAAGTTGCTCTTGTATATTCTGCCCCAAAAGTGGCATTAGGCTTTTGTGTTTGAATGAGATCCAGGTGTAAAGTTTTAGAGCATCAATCTCTTTATTTAAAACCAAATAATGTAGTTCTTCCTTCTCGCTGTCCACTTCAGAAGTACAGTACTAAAGGGGAATAACATATTGGCTCAGGTAATATAGCCCCGAGAGCAAGCTCTCAGAAATAGTTTGCTTCAGATACATTCCTGAACTGAAATGCTTTGATTTTCTCTCCCTGGGATGCAACCACATGTATGGTGAAGATGGCTCTATTTTAGGGGAGAGGCTCATGCTTCAACATCTGTGGTGGAATGAAGACTTTTGTGGGTGTTGGTCCCATGAGGAGAGGTGGGTTTTGGTGCTATAACCAAGGAATCTGTTCAGCATTTTAAATGCTGACTCTCTCCCTGCACCTAGTTGTACATTGGGACCCAGAGTCTATTTCAAAACACATACATCCCCCAACTCTCAGCAATTGAAACCTCCGAAAATAAACTTTATGAAGTCATTGGAGTCTTTATTTTCATTGGCCTCTAGTTGTTATAGTGGTGTGGCTGTCTTAAAAATAGACTGCTGAGTTATTTAATTTGAAGAAGAGGCTTCTGCATGTGAGCCATGTTGACTAATCTTTCATGTGTGTTCTAGATGCTAGAGCATGGCATGGAGTCAGGTCTGACTACTGAGTTGTATTCCTAGCTCTAGAAGGAAAAGTGTGGCCCATGAGTTAAAGCAGGGAGTCAGGATGCCTGGTTTCTATTCCCAGTTTCGGAAGGGGTGTAGGGTGCAGTGTGTTAGGACAGTGCGGTTGGGAGTCAGGACTATGGGGTTCTATCCGGGTTTGGGAGGGGAGAAGAGGAAGTGCTTATAAAGAAAATACAGGGCAGTTTATTTTTCTTTTGGCCATATTTTTGAAGTGTGGTAGTGTCTTCTTCCTTCCCCACGTCTCCAAATAAATCACTCCTCTCAGTGGTAAATGGTTTCTGAGGTGAAAAGGTATTCTTTATTCTAAAATTGTGTTCAAGTTGTATGTTTGGTTCTGACTATAACTAAATTAGCAGAGCACCAATTAACTTCAACAGCAGGGCTGATTGTAGAAGCAACTTTGGGAAAGTTTAAGGTTTTAAATCTAGGTAATTCTGGAAGAAACAAGCTAGGTTAACTTCAGCACCTACCCCAAGCCCTATCCTGTGAGTTTAGACCACTGCAGCATAAGCAGGGTTTTCAGTAATAGTGCATCATCCATGCTGTGGATGTTCCTTTCTGCGAAGTATCAAAAATTGAGATAAGACTTTTCTTGTGGATCCCTGATTTCTAGGTGACATGATCCAAAGAGCATTTAGATCACTTCAAGTTCAAGTATTGCATAGATGCCTTGTGTAATTTTGCTTGGGGCCTTCTGGAAGCATCAGATAGTGGCTACTGCTAGATGCATGATACTGATGTCTGACCTTAATCCGGTCCAGCAACAGACAGGATTCTAGCTGGCCTAAACATCTGTGTAATACTGAAGCTGGAGTTTGCTCTTCAAAGCTTGTCTTAGGTCTTCCTGAAGCTGTGGTAGATCACACTGGAGTTGAATCCTTCCATGGATGAGCTGTTTCCTCAACAATTGGTGCCATGTGTTTTTTGGCACCATCCTGCTTTTTCTTTAGTGTTAGACAGGTGTTTATTTTTCCTGTGTTTTGTCCCAATGAGCATTTATGGCTGGCCAAAGGGAAATCTCTCCCTTGTGCTCCACTAACCGGATGGCTCAGGAGATTGGAAATGAGTCTCTTACTTCTAGGTCATCAATTCCCATATGGCCTTGGGTCAGGAGCAACTAAAAGTCATTCCCATCTGATGGTCTTTTAGTGGCCCCTGTGTAATGATTTGCTGATCTCAGTCTGGTCCCCAGTGAGCAAATGTTCACTTTACAGAAACAACCTCCAGCATTGGCGCTTGGCCTCTTTGTTGAGAGGCTGAAGATTAATTAAGCCATTTCCCTCTTTCTCCTAGTACCATGATGGCTGGAAACCATGTGGGAAGCTTGCCTGCGGCTATCCGTGTTCTGGGAACAGACAGAAGATTGACTATGCCAACCTGCACTTTCTCTCTCTCACAGACACACAGCTTTAAAAGTTACCTCTCTGCATTAGAATAAGGATTAACTCCAAATGAGAGAGTGGAGAATGCAAGTTACAGTGCAGTCCAGTGTAACTTCAGTACTAAAATAAGGAATAGTTAAGGGTGAACTTACCTCTTGCCATAATGATTTTTTAAACTACTGGCAATCTTGCCCCGTCTGGCCCCAGTCAGAATGGATAGCTATTAAGTGAAATAAGTGCTGAAGTTTGCTAATCAGGACATGAATCTGCCATGAGCCCATACTCTCAATTCAGTGGGAGGAGTTTTGATCAATCATGGGTGAAAGGGAGTTCATCCCAATCAGAGTCTTTTTCAGCATCCCCAAAGAAAGTACCCGTATCTGCTTTCCCTGGTATCAGGCAGCATAAAGTTGTGCATGCAAGGGACTAGGAATTTTCTCAATGTCAGGGTTTTGGGTTAAACAAGCAATTTCAGGAATGCAACTTTCAGTCTGATCTGTGCAAAGGAGGTTCATGAGACGCTCTGCTGCCATGTGTTTATGTAGCTTGCAGCCTGGCAGCTTTCCTGCCTCACTTCCCCTTGGTTCATGTGCAGACTGAACATGTTTGCCAGCCACGTGTCAGGAGAACTGATGTCCTGATTTGAACTTGGGTGGTTTATTTTTTTATGTGAGCATTAAGGTTAAGCATAGTACTGGCTCACACCCAGCAGTATTTAGTGACTTGCAGACCCAGCTAAACTTTACAGCACTGCAGAAAACAAATGACTTATGGCAGCATTTCCAAGCATGATTGCAGTAGGGTGAGTAGTGGAGCAGAGTAAAATTACTATTGTGATCCCTAAGTGGTGACATGAGTTAGATTCTCAATATTGATCTGCTCTACAAAGCACCAGTGCTGTGGGGAACAAGTGTCTCATGTCTCATAAAGCAGTTTCTTCATCTGGATGATCAGCTCCAAAGCAAATGCTGGCTAGGATGCAAGGCTGCATGTGCAGTGATTTCGAGGCTGTGAAGCAACCACAAATCCAACAGACTGTACAGCAACAGCTGTGCTAACTGCATAGCTCATCTTCCGCCAGATGTCATTGTTTGCCTTTCTCCTCTTGTACTGAAAATCTATACAGTAAATATACTTCTGTAGAGGTGTGTGCAGGGCTTCCCTTTAAAGAATGGCATTTCCTACTATACTTTCATCTTATCCCAATACAGTGCTATCCCTGAAAGTCCCCAGCAGTGCCTGGCCCATGCTTCATAAATATTAAAAGATAGTAGTTCTTAATTTAAAAAAAAGGAAAACTTTAAACATGCATATGAATGAAGTCTAAACAAGTTACATTAGAGTAACCAAGTAATTTCTTCTGCTTTGGGGATATAGGGTGGAATTATTTGATAAATTCCTAAAATCAAACTGGTTGTGTTTCATGAATCTGATCCTTAGATTATGGTTTTTCATGCCTGTGGGTCTCTGCTAGTGAAAAGAGTGTTTCTGTTCGACCATTTGTGGGCAGTATTTTAAAATAAAACTAATATAAAATATTTGCATTGATAGTTCAACCAAAAAACCCCCCAACAACCCACCTTGGTATAAAACAGTTTTCATTGGAAGCAGCTATAAAATGGCTTTTTAAAGTCCCAAGTCTGAATTTCTGTGGTCTGTTTTGCAGTAACTAGAACGGTATTGCTGAACAATATCTGATCTGTTTCAGTCATGAAACTTGGCATAATGTAGGGATGGGCAGACAGCAGCCACTGGGCTTCTTTCTGCAGTATTGCGTGCAGCTGTCCTTTAATGCCCTGTAGAGACTACAGATCTCTGAGTGCAATAGTCTGTCTTGATCAAGCAAATGACTCTTGGACCATTGCATGCTGAGATATGTAGTCCCTTTGGGCCAGACTGGCAGATTGCCACCACCCCTCAATTTTATGCCCATTATAGGTAGTGCCCTTGAGTTCAAGACAAGGTGAGGGTTGTCGTGCTGTAACCCTGAATCATTCTGTTTCAGAGAAAGTCAAGTAAAGCCAAGGAGAAGAAACAGAAGCGACTGGAGGAACGGGCTGCCATGGATGCTGTTTGTGCTAAGGTAGAAGCAGCCAATAAAGTAAGTGTCTCCTCTGCCCCTCCCCCCAAACAAGTGTTAACTCCACCCTATCATAATTTGAGGACTAGCTGGCCCTGAGATTGTTAATGGGGTACACAGAAACTAATGGTAGAGACCCAATCTCCCTCATGGGTTTGGGCAATTGAATAGCTCAGAGGATTAATATTAGGGGATGAGGAGCTTTACACCTCCAGCTTGTTGTGTCCTAAAAGTCACTACAGTCTGGTGGCCATTCCATGGTACGTGTGAAATGAGTTGATGGATCCATGTTACAAAAGCCGCCATCAACGCTGACAACAGTGTTGACAGTTTCCTCAGAGGCCAGGCATTGAAAGACTGGAGATTGAAATGCCACCTTCTTTCTACAGAGGGTCCCTACACATCAGGAGTGAGGAGTCCTTGTAGGGTTATGCAGGGGTGAGAGGCAGTGTTGTCTAGTAGATAGAGCACTTGGGAAACTTGGGCACAGCTTGGCCACTGGCATGCTGCGTGACCTTGGGCAAGTTACATCCAAGCTCTGTGCCTTCGTTTCTCCCTCTGTAAAATGGGGATGATGATACTGATCTCTGTAAGGCATTTTGGTATCTATGGATGAAAAGTACAGTAACTCCTCACTTAAAGTCATCCCGGTTAATGTTGTTTCGTTGTTACATTGCTGATCAATTAGAGAACATGCTCGTTTAAAGTTGCGCATTGCTCCCTTATAACGCCATTTGGCAGCCGCCTGCTTTGTCCGCTGCTTGCAGGAGGAGCAGCCTGTGGGAGCTAGCTGGTGGGAGCTTTGAACCAGGATGGACTGGCAACCCCCCTATCAGCTCCCTGTTCCCCTAAGTTCCCTGTGTGGCAGCCGCCCAGCAGGCTATCATTTGCTGGCAGTTCAGCTGTCCCTTCCCCCACTGCCATGTGCTGCTCCTGCCCTCTACCTTAGGGCTGCTGTCTGGAGCCTCCTGCTTGCTGTACATGGGGAGTGAAAGGGGGGCTAATGTCAGGGTGTCCTTCTCCCTCCTGCTCTTGCACCCTGCTTACCCCATTTCCATAGAGCAGGGGTGGGACACAACAGGGCTCAGGACGTAGGGAGCTTGCTGGCAGGAGCTGCTGTCTCAACTTGCTGATCTATTTAAAAAGGCAGTGTACTTAGAGTGGGGTCAACGTACTTAAAAGGGCAATGCGCATCTCTCTCTCTCACACAGGGTGTGTGTCTCTGTCTGCCATGCTGTCTCCCCTCCCTCCATTCGTGCTGCCTTGTAGAGTGTGAGGCTACATTAACAACGTGTTAACCCTTGAGGGCTCAGCCAATTGCTAGTTCATTATTTAGCAGTAAGGCATTCCCTGGGAAATATCCCACCCTCTGACTTCAACACCTCAACCAAGCTTCACAATCATCATTGCTGTGTACCAGTATTAAATTGTTTGTTTAAAACTTATACTCTCTGTGTGTGTGTGTGTGTGTGTGTGTGTAGATGTAGATATAGATAATATAGTCTTTTGTCTGGTGAAAAAAATTTCCCTGGAACCTAACCCCCCCCATTTACATTAATTCTTATAGGGAAATTGGATTTGCTTAACATCGTTTCGCTTAAAGTCACATTTTTCAGGAACATAACTACAACGTTAAGTAAGAGGAGTTACGGTACTATATCTGAGCATTATTACTATGGAAGAGAATACATTCTGCCACTCCCACATTCTATGGATAAATGGAATCTTCGGAGTGGTTGCTCTCTAGTGGTTTTCTATAGCTCTCATTGCCATATCTATGCACTTCCAATGATAAATTAAATCTGTAGGGTGAGGTGCCTATCGGATTTCATGGAGTCTTCTGCTCTTCTCTCCTTAACCAAAGACAGAGGCGAGGAAGGATGGTCTAGGGCAGGGGCAGTCAATAGGTGGCCTGCGGGCCAAATCTGGACCGGGAGACACTTGAATGGACCGCAAAATCATTTTATTTACTTACTATTATCATTACTGTTATTGCACTGTGAAAAATATTTCTCTGGAGTCTGGACCTTGATTATACCTTGACCAAGAAATATGGACTTTGACAAAAAATAATTGACTACCCCTGGTCTAGGGGTTAGGAAAGTAGCCTGGGAGATCAGGGTTCAAGTCCCTGCTTGTGATCTTGGGCAAGTCACTTAGGCTTTGTCTACACTGACACTTTCATCGTTAAAGCTTTTGTTGCTCAGCAATGTGAAAAAACAGCTCCTGGACAACAAAAGTTTTAACGACACAAAGCACCGGTGTGGACAGCACTTTATCGGCAGGAGCCACGCTCCTGGTAACAAAGCTAACACCCCTCGTTGGAAGTGGTTTTATTTTGTTACTGGGATCGCTCTCTCCCAGTGATAAAGAGCGGCTACACAGCACACCTTACAACAGCACAGCCTCCCCATTATAATGTGTGCAATGTATCCATAGCCTTAGTCTCTATGCTTCCATTGCCCATCTGCAAAATGGGGATAATAGTAGAGGAGAGTTGTGAAGATAAATGTATGAAAGATTGTGAAGCACTCAAATACTATGGCAATGTGGGGGACACCTACCATAGAAAGACATTTATGTATTTGAATTTTCCTCCTGCTAGTGATTGGGTTCACCCCAGACTAGCCCAGAAAGGGTTAACAGGGCTCAGAAGGGGCCAATTAACCTGATAGGCCAGGAGTGGGCAAACTTTTTGGTCCGAGGGCCACATCTGGGTGGGGAAATTGTATGCAGGGCTGGGGCAGGGGGTTGGGGTGCGGGAGGGAGTGTGAGGTGCAGGAAGGGGCTCAGGGCAAGGGATTGGGGCAGAGGAGGAGTGCGGGGTATATGAAGGGGCTCAGGGAAGGGGGTTGGGGTGCAGGAGAGGTGTGGGGTGTGACAGGGGGCTCAGGGCAGGGAGTTGGGGTGCAGGAGGGGTGCGAGGTGCAGGCAGGGGGCTTAGGGCAGGGAGTTGGGGGGGGGGCGGGATGCAGAAGGGCTTTGGGCTCCTGGGTGGCAGCGGCATGCACCGGCGCCAGGGCAGGCTCCCTGCATGCCTGCCCTGTCCCTGGCCCCGCGCCGCTCCAGGAAGCACTGCGGCCCCTGGGGGCGAGGGGGAGCGGAGGGCTCCATGTGCGCTGCCCTTGCTGCGCCTCCAGGTACCTCCCCTGAAGCTCCCATTGGCCGCGGTTCCCTGTTCCCAGCCAATGGGAGCTGAGGGGGGCGGTGCCTGGAGGCAAGAACAATGCACGGAGCCCTCTGCCCGCCCGCCCGGGGGCCTCAGGGACCTGGTGCCGGCCGCTTCTGGAGAGCAGCGCGGGGTCCGCGGCGCCACGGGGAGGCAGTCCTGCAGGCTGGATCCAAAGCCCTGAAGAGCCGGAGCCGGCCCATGGGCCGTAGTTTACCCACCCCTGTGATAGGCCACTTCTGAAGGAGGATTAGTCTTGTTAGGCAATCCCTGATTGAGGATGGAGCCCAGGGAGCAGGCAGAGCTGGTATAAGGCCAGTGAGGGCAGAAGGAGACTGTGGTGTGGAAGCCTGCAGTCATTCTCTGGTCTTAGGGAAAAGGAGAAAACCCATAGGGAGAGTAGAAGCCCTGGGATTCTGTCCCTGAGGAAAGAACTTAACCAGAGAGGTGGTGGAGAAGGAAGCCTGATAGAGGTGGAGTAGGAAAAGGCTCAGGGGAACAGCAGCCAGGTTTGGGACAGTGCAGACCTTGACCACTGAGTCAAATGTCCCTGAGCTAGAACCCAGACTAGTGGGTGGGCTTTGGTTCCCCTTCCAGCCACTGGAGAAGTGGCACAGTCTGGGCAGTGAATTGGAAGACTTCCTGAGACAGTTCATATGGAGAGACTTTGATGCCCCGGAAGGGGGAAATCACATAGTGACCTGGCTGAAGGGCCAAGCCACGAAGAGAGAACACTCTGTATCATGAAGAGCGAGAGTACCCCAAATCCTGGAGTGTGAGAGGGGACACAGCATGAAAGATAGATAGTGGGAGTATCAGGCCAGGGAGTTCCATTCTCCAGATGCAGCCACAAGGAGACACCCTAGCAGTGAGTAAAGAACCCCTTTACAGTGCCAGTTATGGAGAAGATCAAACATGCTTTGTCTCGGAGGAGGGTCCCTGAAAGTGGTCAGACTGCAGATCACACTTTTTAATCTCCTGTGGACGCTCATTCCTCAGCTGGACTCTCACGACCAGGAGCGCTCTATGCGCTTTTTAAGCCACATTGTCCCAGAGAAATCCAGCTGTCAACACAGGTCATGAACAGGGATGAGAACTCCTATGTAACTGGCATTATTTTGCAAGAAACTGTCAGCATATCATGTAGCACACTTAAACTTAGGGTATGTCCATGCTGCAGTTGGTGTGTGTGATTGCAGCGTGTGTAGACTCATCTGAATTAGCTAACACGGGTACCAATAGCAGTGAAGTCATGAAAACACAAGCTTCAATGTGGGGTGTACAAGCCCACCTGGCCTCCTGGCTATGTACTCGGCCAGCTGTCCTGCACTAAAGTCTATTCTGCTATGGCCTCACTGTTGTTGGTACCTGAACTAGCTAGATTAATGCTAGCTCGGATATGTCTATACATGCTGCAGTCACACCTCTGAGTGCAGTGTAGACGTACCGTAAGTAGTTACTAATGTTCCTTTTTACAGTCCTTTATAGGCAGAGTCCCCTTTTCCATTGCTTGAAGTATACAGCCATTTAAACAAGTATGCCTCAGTGTATATTTTCACAGATCAGTGTTAAATGAAATACAAAAGGGTGATTACAATCCTTCTATCTTGTCTCTTACACAGATGGCTGTCAGTGTACTGGCCTATCTGCCTACCCTGAATTCCCCTTTAGTTTCAGTTAGATGCACTATTTTTTGTTCTGTTTATTAAGTGATTAGCATTGTTGTGCACTGTTAGCTGCTACTTCCCACCCCAGAGATGGTGGGTGGGTGACTTGATTGCTTCTTATGCTTTTGCCACCGCACAAGGGTGCTTGTTGTCCTGTAGTGCTCATGTGCTATAATGCTGGGCACTTTAGGAATGTATGCACTAATAATAGTAATTATAAAACACTCAAAGGTGCTTGAATGAGAGGTGAGAAAGGATGTTCTAGTGCAGTGGTCACCAACTGGTTGATCGCGATCGACTGATCGATCCTAGAGGATCTCCCAGTCGATCGTGATCTCTGGTGGCACAGTGGGGCTGCTGCTAAGACAGGCTCCCTGCCTGCCCCGGCCCCATGCCTGCTTCTGGAAGCAGCCAGCGCGGGTGGGGGGGCAGGAGTCTCCCTCCACACGCTGCTCCTGCCTGCAAGCACCGCCCCCACAGCTCCCATTGTCCGGGAATGGGGAGCTGTGGACAATGGGAGCTGTGGAGGCGGTGTTTGCAGAGATGGCCAGCGCGCGGAGTCCCATACCACCTGCCCTCCCCGGGGGCCACAGGGACACATTGGCCCCTTCCAGGAGCGGCGTGGGGCCGAGGTAGGCAGGTAGCCTGCCTTAGCAGCAGCCATGCTACACTGCCAACTGGGAGCCGCTGGAGATAAGTGCTGCCCAACAGGAGGCCGTGCCCCAGCCCTGACCCCCCCTCCCGGAGCCAGCACCCCGAACCCCCTCCTGCACCCCAAGCCCCAGCCCTGCCCTCCCTCCCAGAACCAGCACCCCATACCCCCTCATGCACCCCAACCTCCTGCCCCAGCCCTGACCCCCCCTCCCAGAGCCAGCAGCCTGTACCCCACCCTGCCACAGCCCAGAACCCCCTCCTGCACCCAAACTCCCTCCTAGAGCTTGCACCCATCACCCCCTCCTGCACCACAACCCCTGCCCCAGGCTCAGCCCAGAGTCCCCTCCTACATTGCGAACCCCTCGGCTCCAGCCCAGAGCCCGCACCCCCTCCCAAACCCCTACCCCAGCCCAGTGAAAGTGAGTGAGGGTGGGGGAGAGCGAGTGACGGGGGGGGAATGGAGTGAGTGGGGCAGGGCTTTGGGTAAGGGGCAGGGCCTCGGGGAAGGGGCAGGGTAGATCCTGGGTTGCCCTTAAATTCAAAAAGTGATCTTGGGCTTATAAAGGTTGGAGACCACTGGTCTAATGGTTATGGTGTTAGCCAGGGATTTAGGAGATTAGTTCAATTCCCTACTGTGTCCCAGGCTTCCTCTGAGACTTTGGGTAAGTCACTCTATTCCTCGGTTTCACCACCTGTAAAATGGAAGTAACACTGCCCTGCCTGATGGGTGTTGTGACGATAAATACATTATAGATTGTGAGGTACCCAGATGCTGTGGTAATGGGCGCCATGTAAGTTCCTAAGGATATGTCTACACTTCAGCAGTACAGCTACAGCTGCAGCTATGCCGCTGTAGCGCAGACTCTTCCTACATCAACAGAAGGGGTTTTTCCCTTCAGTGTAGTTAATCCACCTGTCCAAGAAGCAATAGCTTGGTTGATGAAAGAACTATTCCATTGACTTAGCCATTTCTACAGTGTGGGTTAGGTCAACCTAACTATGTCACACAAGGCATGAAAGTTTTCTCAGTCCTGAGCGATGTAGTTAGTCCAGAGGTGGGCCACGGCCAATGGGAGCTGCAGGGGCGGTGCCTGTGGACAGGGCAGCGCGCAGAGCCGCCTGGCTGCACCTCCACATAGGAGCCAGAGGGGGGACATTCCACTGCTTTTGGGAGCTGCTTGAGGTAAGCGTCGCCCAGAGCCTGCACGCCTGACCTCCTCCTGCGCCCCAACCTCCTGCCCCCCAGCCCTGATCCCCCTCCTGCTCTCTGAACCCCTCAGTCCCAGCCCAGAGCACCCTCCTGCACCCCAAACCCCTCATACCCAGCACTACCGCAGAGCCTGCACCCTCCGCCGGAGCCCTACCCCTCTGCACCCCAACCCCCCGGCCCAGCCCGGAACCCCCTCCCGCACCCTGAACTCCTAATTTGTTGCCCCACCCCAGAGCCCGCACCCCCAGCTGGAGCCCTCACCCCCACCTGCACCCCAACCCCAATTCCGTGAGCTTCGTGGCCCGTCATACAATTTCCATACACAGATGTGGCCTGAGGGCCAAAAAGTTTGCCCACCCCTGAGTTAGTCAATCTAATTTTTAGGTGTAGACCAGGCCTTAAATAAGAGATATAGAAAGACAGTGGATTTTTCTTGTTTATACTTGGTTTTGGCTGTAGAATGGAAGAATGGTTGAGTCCAGCCTCCAGTAAGGCTGTGTATGGAACCAAGCAATTAAGCCATCATGAAGAATGTATTCAAAGACAATAAGGAATCTAATGTGCAAGAGCCGCAGTGGTTACTGTAGCAGGGAGGGAGGGGAACGCTGTGTCTCTAAACGTGAATGTGGCTGTGAGACACTCTAGTGTTCTGCAAACAAAGAAGGAGGCCAAGATGTGCCATATGCCACTTGCTGACTGCCTGACCTGTGCCTGTACTATGGTGCCCTTGGTTCTCAGAAATGCTTTCCAACTTGGCTTTTAAACTCAGCTAAGAGTCTAGAAAACGAGCTGCACCCTGTAAAGTCAGCCCATGAGTTACCATTCTAGCTGCAGAATAAGCTACTGCTCTGCTCTTTGCCATGGCGTTGACCCCTCACTCATTCATCTCTGATCACCGTGCATGAAGAGAATCCAAACAATCTGTGCGAAATACCAGCTCCTTCTGACTTTCTGCAGCCTACTCTACTGCTCTAATACCCTGCAGTTTTCCCCTGTCACGGGAAGGGAGCTCCTCTTGTAATTGTGGTCTGATCAGCCAGTCTGACTGCTTTTGAAATAAGCAAGGGTTAAGGAGAGTTGATGTGGGGTGCACAATAATGCTTCTCAGGTGCTGGCTGCAGCTCAGCTGTTGTGATTGAACATAGACCTATTGAAAGAACAAAGCTCCTCTCTTGTTTTTTCTAAACAGCTGAAAGCTCCTCCCCTCTTCCCCCTTCAAGGCATCTGTGCCTCGTTATATAGACAACGGGGCTAGCGATCCTTCTCCAGAGCATTTCAGGAAGCAAGGTAAAAACAGAGTCTTAAAGCTATGAAAGGAGGAGAATCATGAACGAAGGCGGACACCCTCTATTCACCCAACATCACTCTGTAGTTTGACCGCTTCATGTGCATTAACATCTAATTTTCTAGGGTGTGATTTCTCTTTTTTTCCCCTGTAGCTTGGAGACCCCTTAGAAGCCTTCCCAGTGTTCAAGAAATACGACAGGAATGGGTGAGCAAATGCTCCTTACTTAGTCCTTCACGACACTGTGGTCCAATGGCTAGGGCAATGCACTGGACCCAGGACACCTGAACTTTAATCCCAAGTCTGTCACTATCCTGTTGTCTGACCTCAGGAAAGTCCCTTCTTCTCTCTGTGTGCCTCAGTTTCCCCTCCCACACTTTGCTTGTTTATACTGTGAGCTCTTCAGAGCAGAGGCTGTCTCACCATGGGCCTGTGCAGCACCTGGCATAACAAGGCTCCCCCATCCCAGTTGTGGGGTGTGTGTGGGTGTGCTTTAGATCCATAATGTATCTAATAAAAATAAAGCTTGTTGAGCAATTTTGAGGTAGTGAGAGGAAGATAAAGCTAGTGTTGGTGCTAGGATGGGTTGTGAAGGAAAATATTAATACTAAGTATTTTTCCTGTCTGCTAATGCCCCTTATGTTCTCTGAAAGATGAGGTTACAGCATAGCGAGAGAGAGAGAACTTGGTTTCAGTTGTGGGGAGAAGTAGATTCAACTGGGCAGGGGAAATGTTGGGACTTTAAATACTAGTAGTGTGTTACCCGCAAAAGGCCCCAGCTGAAGGGTGGGGTCAGCACTGTGCTGAGCACTGCATGGGCCTCATCAGAGACAATCCCTACCCCAAAGAGTTTCCAATCTAAATAGCCAAAGGAAGGATTATTCTCTCCATGTTACGGCTGGAGGAACTGAGGCCCAGAGAGGTTCAGTGACTTGCCCAAGGTCTCAGAGGGAGTCTGCCATAGAGCTGGCAATTGACCTCCAGTCTCCAGCACAAGGCCAGTCTTTGTCTACCTTCTCTTTTTCCTCTTCTTCATACACATAATGCTAGGCTGAATTTCTGATGCCGGGATAGCACAGTGCTGGGTGCTTTAGATATATAAATTCAATAGAAACCTCTCTTGCTTGCATGTAAGTGCTGAGGTCAGGATACAAATCCCCCTTCTTCATCTGTGGCTGACTGGGCTTCCCTGTACAGTAAGTGTGACCCACTGGTGAGCGTGTATTACAGATTCCTCTGTGTGCCTGATCTGCACAGGAGAGGAGTCTGCTACAGGCCTAGCTAGGGAGCTTTGGTTGTTTAGCTCAAGCTGTAATAGCTCATGCTTTGAGCTGTGGAGGTCCCTGGTTCAATCTGACCAGCCAATTTAAAAGCGAGCTGAAATTGCTTGGGTATCTTGGTGCATGGCTTGCCTGGTGCTAAGTGCTGCTTTCCCATCTCTCTTTTCACAGTTTAAACGTCTCCATCGAGTGTAAGCGGGTGTCGGGCATGAACCAGGCTACAGTCGACTGGGCTTTCGAACTAACCAAAACAAATATGCAAACTCTGTAAGTCCAGGCCAGAGTGGGGGACCCTGTCCCTGGGGCAAGCTGGTGCTGACATGATTTCTGAGGACTCCCTGGCAGCCACAGATACTGAAGTAAAACCTCCCCCAACTGCAAGGCTACCAATGAGAACTGAGCACCAAGCGCTGGGGATATTGTGAAGAAGCGCTGCCCCCTTCCAGAACGCACACATCCTGGTAGATGGTTTCCTAGGCCATTGTAGAATAGCCACAGGTCCCACAGGCTGTGCTTGGAGTATTGTTCTGCTAGGGATAGTTAATGTGATCAGCCTTCCATGGGGGAATGTGTCCCCCCTTTCATTCTAGACAGAGTTGTGACTGGACTAGATGACCTGTCGAGGTCCGTTCCAGTCCTACATTTCTATGATTCTAAAGCAAATTTTATTTTCTGACCTGTGTCAGACAGGATGTCATACTAGATGTTCTAATGCTCCCTTCTGGCCTTTAAAACCTGTGGATCTATCAAAATCCTGCTGTGGGTTCTGTACCTTGGGTTGAACCAGAACTACTACCTAGCCCCAGAGTATTGCAGAATCCTGAATCTGTAGGGAATAGTGGGACCCCCAATGACAGGGTTATGGGGAAAGTATTTCCTTATTCTTGATCACTGTCTAGAAGTACCTACAGGGGGAGCAGATAGAAAAGGGGCCTTGAATCCAGTTGACGACAGCAGAATGAGATCCAGTGTCTGGGAACTGAAGCTACAAATTCAGGCTAGAAATAAGGTGCAGATTTTTAACAGGGAGGGTGATTAACCATCAAAACAACTTACTTAGGGATATTGTGGATTCTCCATCACTTAGAGTCTTCAAATCAAGATCACACGTCTCTTACTAAAAATGACACATTCTCAACCTTGCTCGATGTGTGAATCTGTGGGTGAGATTCTCTGCCCTTTATTATGCAAGAAGTCTGGCTAGGGGCATGTCTAGATGAACAAGGCAAGTCGGGGTGTAAATCTATAGCACTCCAGAATGCTGCACCTTAACTGTCCATGTGGACCATGCTGCTATGCACTAAAAGTTCCTTAATATGCTTTGCATAATTCAGTTTGAAACAGCAGTAGGTCAAAGTGCGCTAGGAAACTTTTTAGTGTGCAGTAGCAGGGTCCACACGGACATTTAGGTTGTGGCCTTCTGGAGTGCTGTATATTTACACCCCAACTTGTCTTGCAGTAAGTATTTGTCTAGATGTGCCCTGGATGATCATCATGGTTCCTCTGGCCTTAAAATCTATTAATCTTCTCATCTGGATCTCTGTAGATGGAAGGGGCCAGCAGTAGAAATCCTGAGAACAGTGTATGCAGGAAGCAAGGGGACCAGAGTGCTGGGACCATCATGCTTTCTGCAGAAGGAGCGCTGAGCTGCCCTTGTTCCTCTTCTCCCTGCCTGCAGGTATGAGCAGAGCGAGTGGGGCTGGAAAGACCGGGAGAAGCGGGAGGAGATGACAGATGACAGAGCTTGGTACCTGATCGCTTGGGAAGATAGCTCTGTCCCTGTGGCGTTCTCGCACTTCCGGTTTGACGTGGAGTGCGGGGACGAAGTCCTGTACTGGTATGTGTCCTAGCACCTACTCCCTTTGTTTTAGAAACAAGCACTGCCTTCTGCCCATCTCCTCTAACCAGAGAGCGAAAGAGTAGGGAAGTGATTTGACACAGCTTGTCAGTGGCAGAGCCAGAAGTAGATCTCTATCTACCTGAATTCCAGTCCAGTCCCCTGTCAACTAGATTACACTGCCACCCCTTCGCCCTGCCTTTGCTGCATTCCTTTGTTTGCTCCATGAGCAGAATGTGCCTCTCCTGGATTCACCCTCATGCTATAGGCCATAACAGTCATGTCAAGCTCTTTCCTAAGAGGAAAGGGTGATGCTGCTGGCCAGGGAATGGTTCTATATCGCTTTTGCCCCCTCAAGCAGTGTGATTTAGGGCTTAGACCAGTGATAGTCAGACTGAGGCTCGTGAGCTGCAAGTGGCTCCTGCGGCTCTTTGCAACACATGATATTAAAACACTGTGTGATTTAATAATTTATCAATCTAAGTTATTAACCAATCAGGATGCTTTTACTATGTTATTAACCAATTGTAATTGATAAAATAATACTTGGTCAGTCATTTTACTTTGAGAATTATATATGTATATAAAAACCTAAATATTCCCTCTGTTATACTGTTTAAATATAGATATATAACACTATAGTAAATGAAACAACGAATTCACACTACTGTGGCTCATTTGGGTAACATTGATCACTAATTTGGCTCCTGAACCACTGAGGTCTGAGTATCACTGGCTTAGAATCAGGACTGGGTGTTGTGTTCTAATCTGGGTTCTAATCCTGGCTTTGCTACTGATTTGCTGACCTTCCCCCCAGGGTGCCTCAAACTCTCCTCTACAGAATATGGCTGATGCCTGCCTGCTGCATGGGGTGGGCGTCAAGGCTGGTTTAACATTAGAGAGAGACTTCTGGCTGAGATACTTGATGAGATGGAGAGTCAATGAAGTGGAGAGTTACGGAAAGGCTGGTCTTTCTTATACACAAGGGTCTCACCCCAACAGTGGTGGGACAGGGGTTCAGAGATTGGCTGGAATGAGTCCGTGGAGGGTAATTGTGAACTGGATCCTGAATTAAATGGGAATTTTTTTCTGTGTGATGAGGCAAGTTGGGTTGTTTTGCATCTGCTAGTGTCTGCAGAACAAAGACATGAAGAAGTTGAGCAATACAAATATATCATGGGTGTGCGTAAGCATTGCTAGTGTGATGCCTGCAAATTTTCTGGCTGCATGGATTTCAGGACGTTGCACGTATAAGATCTTGAAACTTCGTGTTGTAAGGTATTCGTTTCCTCTCCCCTCCCACTTTCCTCCCAGCTATGAAGTGCAGTTGGAAAGCAAAGTCAGAAGGAAAGGTCTTGGCAAGTTCCTCATACAGATTCTGCAGCTCATGGCAAACAGGTGAGTTGCTGTTCCACATGACATGTAAAGTCTGTTTTGAAATAATTGTCAGTTTCATAGCCTTCGGTTTAAAGTGTGACTCAATCTGTTTAGTTTATCAAAAAGAAGATCATGGGGAACTTCTGAAGTACCAACGATTCCTTTAACCTAGTGGAGAAAGGCAGAACAAAAACCACTAGCTGGAAATTATAGCCCGACACATTCATGTTAGAAATAAGCCACCAGTTGCTAATACTGAGGGTGATTAATCATTGGAACAAATTCCTAAGGGAAGTGGTGGATTCTCTCTCTCGATGTCTGCAAATCCAGATTGGCTGCCTTTCTGGAAGATGCTTTAGTCAAACAAGATATTTTGCTCAATACAGGGATAACTGGGTGACATTCTCTGGCCTGTGCTATACAGGAGTTCAGGCTAAATGTGGCCTTAAACTCTATTACTCTGTATAGTCATAACATCACACAGTAAAAGCAACAGCACCTAGTACACTGTGGAAAAGCAAAGACTGTTGGACAACCATCTTCTCACGTACTCACCTCTAAACTTACAAGGTTGTTGTCTTGTCACTTTTTTTCCCCACAATATGTTTTTTTTTTTTCCAGGGACCTCTGAGCTCATAGTGTCTGTCTCACTCCTGATCAGAATTGCTCAGTTGATGAGAGATTTCCCCCCCTTCCCTGCGAGTATTGTAAACTGACTCTGGGATCTGACAGTCAAGCTGGGTCCTCTGCAATTTCCACCTCCTCACAAGTGATAAGCATTCTGCAATTGGACTGTAGCTAACAATTCGATGGAAGATGCATCAGCAAAAGTAGACTCTAGATTCCTCTCCCACAGCTAGGCCAGCTCTTCTGGGGTCCACAGGAGCATAAAATAGTAAAAGAAAACTTTTACCCACCAAGTGCTCTCTGTCTCTTTGGAGTCAGAGTTGCTAAACATAAGGAAATATATCTTTAATACAGCCACGCTTCAAATGGCATGTGTTCAAAGGGTCAGTTTTGGTTAGCTTGGACTAAAATTTGGATTTTAATTTATTTGAATCTATGAATAAAACTTTTTGATAGATTTCAAGGCCAGAAGGGACCATTAGATTATCTAGTCTGACCTCCTGTATAGCACAGGCTGGAGCATTTCAACCAGTTACCCCTGCATTGAGCCCAATAACTTGTTTGACTAAAGCATCTTCAAGAAAGGCAGCTAGTCTTGAATTCGTCAAGAGATGGAGAATCCGCCACTTCCCTTGGCAAAGTGTTCCAAAGTTAATCACCCTCGTTAAAAATTTTGTGAAACCAAATAGTAGGAAAAAAGATTCAATGAACAAATTGTGTGTTGCCATAGTGTGTGCATCTGTATAAATAACATTTGTAGTCTGAGGCCCATGTCCTACAAACACATAATGCCTTGGCTACATACACAAGTTGTACTGCTTTCACTATACCAGTGTAGTTAAAATGGTACAATCCTCCTAGTGTGGATGCAGTTACATTGGTTTAAAAGGGCTTATACCAGTACAGATCTTCCTGTCTGAGCAAGGTAATAAGCCATATCGGTTTAAGACATCTTTATTACTGCTATAACTGCATCCGCATTAGGGGTTGTACTGGTATAATGGTGAAAATCACACCCCAGCCTGTTATGATAAATAGCTTCCCGAGATGGAGCGCTCCTCTATGATTATGCATAGGAACAGCAACTACTTTCAAGAAGTGCTTGATGAGAGAGAACAGTGAATGTGAAAGAAGGAATAAAATGTGAATGTTGCAGTTTTGGCTCTCTCCTCTTATACTTGAACGGTGAACATCACAGACAGTTATATCGGTAAAACGTTTAAGTGTAGACCATGCCTTAGGCATGTCTTGTCTTTGAGTTGTCCTGTTGCAGTCAACAGGACAACTTGCGTCTGTAAAGTTCAGCATGCATATAGGTGTGTATAGAGTCAGGCCCTGAAATGTTGCTTTTCAGCATTTGAAGCCCAGTCTGAACCCAACAGAATGGTGCCGAGTGCTGAGAACCTGGAAGTCGCACTGACAGAAAAACAAGATTGCTGACCACATCCTCCAGTTAGAGCCCGTCTGCCCCCAGGGCCTCCGCTCCCAACCAGGTTGTGCCCGCCCTGCTCAAAGCTGTGCTGTCCCCCAGCCCAGTTGCTGCCTGGGCTCCCAGCTCTGAGCTGGGCTGTGCCCGCCCAGCTCCCCACTCTCAGATGGACTGTGCCCTGAGCTCCTGTAGGGGGCCCAGCAGCTGCCCGGAGTCTCCCAGCTCCCCATGGGATCATTAGGTGTCAGTATTCCTTGGATTCCTTTTGTATTATTCTTTGGACACTGACTGCTGGGCCTCTCTCTTGCCTTTCAGCACACAGATGAAGAAAGTCATGCTAACAGTATTTAAACACAATCATGGGGCCTATCAATTCTTCAGAGAAGCGTTACAGTAAGGAACTTACCCTAACTCTTGCTTTCCTGCTCTCCATGGAGGGAGCTGGATGGGGGGGTGGCCTGTTATTTATTTAATATGGTAGTACACTGACTGCTCTGTCATTTCTGTTTGTAACACGTTGTTCACACAACTGTCTTTCAGTGCTATGGCAACGTTACGCTAAAGGGGAGAGACCGTGGGGACGGTAGACTAGGATGGATGGGAATGGGTGGTGGTGATAAGGACGGGTGCACGAGGACCTGGCCATCTGCTCACTACTTAAAGGCAGCATAGAGAGGTGGGTTTTCAAGTCTCTCTGCTTCTCTTGCTTACTAGCAGCCTTTCTTGCAAGATACCCCCCCACCCCAAGTGACACAGAGGTAGCTCCATTGGAACTGAATTGCATTAACTATAGCCAATGCTTGTTCTCTTGTCAGTTGAGCTTTCTCTTTATTGTCTCTTAACTATAGATGCAGAGGAGGATTGTTTTAGCTACTGACTGTCTAGTGCATTTCATCCACAAAGCTCATACTTAACCATCACTACGCTACCCCAGTTTTACAGGTGCACAGAGAGGGAAAGTGACTTGAAAACAGAACCCATCTCTCCCCACCCCCGGTCCTGTGCCCTGTCCGTTGGACCATGCTATCTAAAACTATATTGTCTTTAGAGTGGTTCTTGGGCCTCATAGCTAATTCTTGCCTAGAGCAAAAAGTGACGGGGGAAGAAACACATTTACCAACTGAAATGGGAAGCACCCACACTCAAACGCACCTCTTTGGGTGATGTGTTTGTTATCACTTCAGATTTTACAACAATGCTTTCCACTTCTCCGTCAGCTTTCATTCCCCATGTGTGCCATGCTGGGGGACAAGGAAGGGATTTGGATAATGCGGAGATTCGTACAAGAGAGCAGAGACCCCTGGCCAGGACTGCGAGGAGGATGAGCCCCCAGCCAAGGAGAGGCCATCCTGCTGCTGACTGGCTCCTGTGGCAGCGCAGGGAGCTCTCTGTAGCCCCGTTGTCACCAGAGTGCTTGAGAAAGGCTGTGACAGCAGAGCTGCAGGGGGCTTCCTGCACTGCCACAGAGCTGGTGACACATGATCTCTGTAAGGAGCCGCTGCGGTCCTGCAGGGAGCCCTGTGCAGCTCTGCTGTCAGGGGAGTGAGTGGGTGGGGCAGAGCAGAGATCCCCAGCCAGGACTGTGAGGAGGAGGAGCTCCCAGCTATGTGGGAGGACACCCTGCTTCTGAATGGCTCCTGCCTCTTGATTATCATGCTATTCGGATAATTGGAAGTAGACTGTACCAGGGGATTGTGTATGCAGGACCTCACCTTTACAACAATACAGGATTAGGGAGAAATCTGTTATTCTGATTCCTTTTTGTAAATTGAGGCTAAAGCAGAGAAGAGTGCAATGGGAGAACTGTCTAGGGGTGTGGATAACCCAACCTGTGCACCATTGGCAGGGGTCAGGGCAAGATCCCTAAGGCTAAGGGCTGGTCCACACTAAGCCCCCAGTTCGAACTAAGATATGCAACTTCAGCTACGTGAATAACGTAGCTGAAGTCGAAGTATCTTAGTTCGAACTTAAAGGTACTTACCGCGGGTCCACACGCGGCAGGCAGGCTTCCCCGTCGACTCCGCCTACTCCTCTCGCGGAGCAGGATTACCGGCGTCGACGGCGAGCACTTCCGGGATTGATTTATCGCGTCTAGACAAGACGCGATAAATCGATCCCAGAAGATCGATTGCTTGCTGCCGAACCAGCGGGTAAGTATAGACGTACCCTAAGTGAAGGTGACTAGTATTAAGCAGTCTCTAACGTGGTGTGTTTCCTAAGTTCCTAGGCGCCAGAAAGTAGCTTCTCTCTCTGTTGTTTTGTACCTCTGCAGGTTTGAAATTGATGACACCTCGCCCAGCATGTCTGGCTGCTGCGGGGATGACTGCTCCTATGAGATCCTCAGCCGAAGAACTAAATTTGGTGAGAGCCAGCACTCTCACTCGGGCAGCCACTGCGGAGGCTGCTGCCACTGAGTCTGAACCGCCTCTTTGTGTAATCCTCCTTGCAAACGCACCCCTTCATCTTCTTTCCCTGCCATCCCCATCCTCACATACTCCTTAAGATAGGTCACCGCCTGCCTCTTAAGTCAAGAGACTTAGACCACGTTCCGGAGTGCGTATGAAATTGCTCTCCTCTGTGCAGGAGGCACTAGAAGTCAAAGTCCTGTCCAGCTCTTGGACCTAGTGCTCTGACCTCAAACAGGAAGCACCAAAGGTGTGAGTCTGAGGACACTAAGTGAAAGCAACTTCAAAGCATAGGTTAAGGAAGCGGCGATAGCACAGGGCATGCAATGAGGACAGTGAGCCAGTAGCCTCTCTTTCACCCGACACCCCTCCCACCGACCTGCGTGATGTAAGAGGTTTGGAGCAAGAGCAATGACATGGCTTTATTACCCACATCTCACTCCCTGCGAACACCATCTAGGGATTAGCATTGTTCTTTCCCAAGGTGCTCCGTGGAGCTTTAGAACCCATTACAATGCAAATACAAGATTCTGAGCCAAATAACACAGGCCCATCTTAGAACCTTTGAGAATTTCTTTATGCTTCACCCAGCCCTCATGGGTCCCAAGTTCAAGGTTCCATGTATCACCTGTAACACCTTTATGGTGATGGCTTCTGCAGAGGAAATGCAGAGGGCCATGCTCAAGTTTTGATGGGCAATTTCCAGCTCTTCCTGGCTTTAAAATGTAAATTACAACCTGTAACTTTTGGGATCTTAAAGCTGGATGAAAAAAAACATCCCTAACAACTTTGTGTGCAAAACTCCTTTCACTTTCTTTGCTAGGGCAAGGAGAGGCTTTTTAGTGTTTTTGCTTCCCTGAGGTTGGTACCAAGTACTAAGAAGACATAGAAGTGGATTGTAAGATCAGCGTATTGGGAACATTTCTGGCTCAGCTGAAATGCATGTGGCTTGGCAGTTACATGTGGCAGTCAGGGATTGAGTGCAGACGTGCAATGGTTCTCAGTCTGAGGTTGGCACGCCACAACTCTGTTGCTTTCTTGTGTTCTAGCTATAGTGTGCTTTCCACTGAAGCAGAGCAGACCTGGGAGCTCTATAAGGCTGAGGGAGCTAGCAACTGTAGTGGGATTACTTGATTGTATTGACTGTGGGTGATCAATAATAGTCAGATCTCATGTGATGGCTCTAATCTCTCTGCAATAGCTGCCCTACACCTGACTGTAAGAGCATGGGACTAAACTGAGAGCTTCCATGTTCTACTGAAGACACCCAGCTCAAGTAATTTCCCCTCTCTGTGCCTCGGTTTCCCCATATGTAACACCGGGATTCTACTGACCCAGCTAATGTCTGTAAACGCTTGAGATCCTGGGGTGGCAGGCGCTAGGGAAGCACAAAGTCTTTCTGGCCGAGTATAGTCCATGGATGGGAGGGTGGAGAGGGGCAGATGCCACACCAGTGTTGGCTGGAACAAGTCACATAGCGTAGTGCTCTACTGGAAACATGTTGAGAACCAGGTTAGCGTAAAGGATCCATAATGTAGGTCTAGCCATGGTCTGTTGGCCTCATGAAAGGGAGGTTGTAGAAAGCAGCCAGTGGTAGGAACATTCTGGATCTTGTGATTTTTTTTATTTTTTTTAAGGCCTCTCTGTAACTTTTTCTTCTCAAGGATAGGAAACTATCATGGAGTCTGTGACTCCTTTTTATTCTTAAGCTGCTCACAGAAGTCCCCCCACCGCATGGGGAGGACAATCCTTCATCTCCCATACCCCCAGAACAGGCCAGTGACTCATTGCTTGAGTTCCAGCCTCAATTTTTACCAAATCCAAACTGTCGGTAGGAACAGTGACAAGTTCCTCATTGCAGTAGATGCCTTTTGCCCTTCCTCAGAGCATGGCATTCCATCCTGAGCCAGGAAGCAGGAGGGCATGCTCCCCCTTTCGCCTCAGTGAGGTGTGTTGGCATCCAAGCCCTCTCTGGGGATCCTGGTGGGGCCCAACTGGAGTCAGTGGGACTCTTTAAATCTCCTTTGTCTCAGAGCAGCTGTTGTGGTAGGGACCTCTGTCTCCATCTTATCAGGTGCCCCTGTTGTGGGTGGAACCTTTATCTGCATTTCACCCACTCGGGAATTCCGACCTATACCTGTTCCAACCTCTGCCTGGGGGAATAGGACCTCTGTCTGTCATACCAGGTGTTGCATCTATGGGGGAGTAATGACCTCTATCTGCATTGCACATGCTGAGTAGGACATCAATCTATCTTGCACTAAGTGTTGCACCTGCTAGGGGGTAGGACCGCTATCCATGTTGCACCATGCACACCCAGTTACAGAGACCTTTTGATCTGATGCATTTGTTGTTAAGTGTTGCCTTTCTTTATGCCCATCCCCTCTCCCAGTTGGTCCAGTATGGGCTCCTCTGTTTCTGCTCCTTGCGGGGTGGAGCCTCCCCTTCATCTGTCGTTTTTAGCTCCATTATTCTCAGCCTCCCATGCCCTGTGGCAGCCCCAGCACTTCACTGCCAGCCCAGGGTCTGGATGTAGAAGCGCTTTGCTTTACCTGCCATAGAGAGACACAATCTGAACTCTGCTGCAATTTAGCCTCTTTCTGGGGTGGGAGAGGTCCCTGTCGGAGTTGTGAAATGCGTCTAGTTGAGCTAGCTACTTTCTAGCTCTGAGAACCACCATTTGCTGGGCTTGCTGCACAGAAACGTAATATGGGCTTGATTTTTCAGAGAGTCAAACACCCCATTTGCCATGGGAATTGGACCCATAATTCTGATAGGCACCTGTGAAATCCCAGCCATAGCTCTTCTACAAAGGCATGTTATTTAGGGACAGGGAATAACCTGTTTGTTTTTACAGGGATGGCTTTTTACTTGAGATCTGCTTCTCTCTTCCTAACCATTTGCCTCCTTCCACCCCTGCCAACTTGCACTTTGAGAGAAAGATGCTTTAAACTTTGGCCCACACAGCCCTGCAATTTCGGGTCTTTGAGGACAAAGATGCTCATTTTGAAGGGAGATTGGGAGCAATGGGATAAATCATTCTGCTGTTTAGCTGCTGATATTCACTCTTCAGATTTGCTGAGCATGGAGGCCAGGATTTTTGAAGGGACTAGTGATTTTGGCTGCACCCATATTTATATTCCTAACTTGACATCTTAAAAGAGGTCTGGTTTTCAGAAGGCACTGATGTCTCTGAGGCATCTCTAGATGGGTAGAACCAAAAATAAACTAGTCACTGTAGAAAATGTTACCGACCAGTGCATGCTTTCCTCCCTTAGCTGTGGCTAAGGACTAGCTGAAAAGGGGCTAGCTGCTGACCTGCAGAGAAGATTCCTACCGCTGCATGGAGAATTCAGGGTTTAAAGCTGAACTCTTAACACCTTTCAAACACAAATGCAGAGCCATTAACCTACAGCCTGAATGAAGGGGATCCACAATGACCTGCGACTTTCCACACATTCATGAGGGATTTTTGAGACCTTTCTTCTGGGTCAGCAATGTCCAGTGTCATTTGCTGGCATTGTTTAGTATGCACCGGGTCATTAAACTGATGGGAGATTCTTTCTTAATGGCCACTATGTCTCCTGCTTCGCTCAAGGTCAGAGGCATGTGGCCCTGCATTCAGCCTCAGCAGCGCTATCATTTTGGATTGGATCATCCTGTCTTGACCAGTTCAGTCTGGCTAATGCTTATGGCTGTAGTGCCTAATGTTGCCTCAGCCTCCAAGAGTGTTCCCCTCTTGTGTCTGATTTCTCCTGGTGTGTGGACAGGTGGTGCTGCATCTCCTCTGAGTGCCTCTCTTGTACATGAAAGCCTCAGGACCCTACTGCTGCTGCCACCTCCTCCAGCTCTTTATACCAGGGATGGGCTTACATCCTCTCCTAAGTAGCCAGCTGTGATTGCGGCTCCTTTTGCCACCCCCTACTTAATGCTGCCCCTCTGCTCTGTGTTTCTGAGGGCAGAGGCAGGGCTGCTTGCAACCAGGGAGCATCTGTTTCCGCATCAAAATCATCACAATCCCTTAAATGAGGAGGACCCTGTAAACAGCAAGTCAGCTTTTGTTGGTGCTCCACTCCTGCTCACTGCCTATTTTCCAGGCAGGCTAAACTCCCAGCCAGAATGGCATTCCCCTTTAGCCAGGTGAGAATCCCTTCCTCTTCTTTCTAACAAGTTGCATCAGCAGCCAACGTTAGCCCTCTTCCTCCCACCCTTCAGCATAGCCTTGGCACCACATGTGCAATGAGCAGAAGATTACTTTGGCACCGGTTGTAGCTACATAGCAGACTGCATTTGCATGGCACATGGATGTGGAGCATTTCGTGCTATTCCCCTGCTATTATGTCTGAGAAAATGACAGTAATTCACCAATTCCCAAAATGACTATCTCCCTACTCGGTTTATTAGCGAAGTCCTAGGGTGGTTTTAACCCCTTGGCACCCAGTATTTGGCTTTCAGCGGACACGCGCATCATTCTGCCGGCATCGGGTTGCTTTGATTAGTATCAAAGAACATGGAAGCATTTTGAGGGAGTCAAACTGCATTAAATTTAAGGGAAATTTAAGCAGGTCAGGTTTAAGACCTGACAACCCTTGGCCTGTAGTTTTGGCATCTGTGTCCCAACCAGATTTGTTTTGAGAAATCTAGCGCTGTGTACGCTGGACTCTTGACCCTCTAAACATCCCGTGTTGACTCCTTAGCTCTGAGGGCTGTGTCTGAAAGCCACATACCAAGTTTGGGGGAAAGCAGTGTGTTTATAGTGCATGATTGTGTTGTTTAATTTCTCCCTTTCTCCACATATGAAATCCTCCTTCAGTCTGTCTCTGTGATCCCAGGTAGTGGTTTTTCCTCCTCAGACTGGATTCTGGAACTTACCCCTCAGTCTCACTAACCCAACTCAGCCAAAGCACCTGTTTAAACAGGGACTCAAGCCAACAGGTCTGAAGCCCCTGCTTAACACTAAGCACGTGCTCAGGTGCTTTGCCGGATAGGGAAGCTTTGATGAATCTGGGTAGCTCTCTGCCAAGCAGTGAATTCCAACCAATACAAGGATTTTTAATGACTCCCTTGCCACTTTTTTTCCTGGACTTGGTCTCCTTTTATGTCAATCAGCCCAATAACTGCTCTGTGGCATGTGTGATAGTGGGTGAATTTTATAGCTAGCTGCAGTTAGGTCTGCTTAAAAAAGCAAAATAGTAATTTCTCCTCTGGGCACTCTCCTTGCTTTCCTCGCTGTCTTCTGCCTATCATAAATGGAGTCACCAGTTAGATCCCAAAGCAGATTGGTGTGTGTGACTGTACTTTGTCCATCTTTTTACCAGCTCATTCTCTTCATTGTGAACATACAGACAGATCTTCTTGGAAGGGGTGGAAGGTTCTAAAACAAACCCAGTTTTGTTTTTTTGTTTTCTTTTAAAGGAAAATTCCTCCCTCATCCCCTTTTTACATTAGCGACTCTCTCTTACCCCCTCTTTTCCTCCCCGTCCCAGATTATTCTAACTGTGGCTAAACAAAAAGGGCTCCTCAGAAAATTCCTCTCTCCCTTCTCCCCTTTAATGAATATATTCTTTGATTTAGCAAGTTAATCTATACTTTTGTTTGTCTTCTTGGTACCTTTTGAGGTAGGATCTCCTCCCCCAATAAATGCCAAGTCTAGTTTGACAGACATAGCTGACCTGTTTGTACTGTATCATTTTTACTGAGGTCGGGGCATGTTACATTTTTTTCCTAAGCCTTGTCTCTCTTTTTTCACTTTTTAAGTTGATCATGTGTTGGGACTTCTGCGTGCGTGTGCATGTGTAAGGTCATTTTATTTGGGTTTTTTCCCCTTTCCGTTTCTAAAGGAAAATTTAAAATAAAACCTCACTTCTGATGTTGTTGGTTTTTTTAACTAGTAACTATTCTCACTGGAATCAAAGGGAAAAAGCTAATCTTTTTGCATTGGTTTTATTTGTATGTTACAAATAAAAACAGTTTGTTCAATGTCTGGTGTTTTTTCTGCAGCAGGCGTGAGGCAGCAAAGGCTGTAGAGGTAGAGAGTTAGGACTTGATTCCCAAGTGGATTGAGGGAAGGGAGGTGAGTGGGAGTGCTGTGCCTATCTCTGGGAGAGGAGTGGGGTCTAGTGTGTTAGAACAGGGCCCCTGGGAGTCAGCTCTCCTGGGTTCCATCACTACCCTTAGGAGATGGTGTGGTTTTGAACAGTTAAATGTGGTGGGCAGGATGTACTTTCTGTTCCCTTCTCTGGGAGAAGAATGGGGTCTAGTGATTAGAGCCGATGTGTGGGGGTCAGGACACCTGGGTTCTATTCCTGGCTGTGGGTGGGGAATGGGGTATTGTGGTTGGAGCAAAGTGGGACTGGGACCCAGGATTCCTGGATTCTGTTCTACCACATTTTTACTAAGTGATGTCAGCCCAAAATCACATAATATTTTTTCTTCAGAGGGTCACAGTAGTGGGTTTTTAATTCCAGAGTAGTTTCATTTCATATTTTCCTAAAACAGCTTTTTTTTCCCTCCCCAGTTTCTGTGTGAAAGACCAGCCACAAAAAGATGAAACTGACTGATTATACTGTGGCAACGAGTGAAACGGACTGGACAGAAAGTGGTATAGGATGCACAAAGTATATTGAAAGGAGACTCTTACCCCTTTGCTTAGTGGGGTCTAAGGAGGGTGATGGGAATTAGTATTAGACCAAAGTAGTTGTAGACTGGAGGGACTTTTTGCCTACCTTTACAAAGGTAATTTTTTACCTTTCTCTCAGCTATGTTGAAGCTAAAATTTGGTAAGGCCAAAAGGGCCCATTAAATCATCTAGTCTGAGCTCCTGTATAGCGCAGACAACAGAATTTCACCCAGTTACCCTTTGTAATAAGCCCAATAACTCACCTATGATTAAAGCCTGTTTTCCAGCAAGGCATCCAGTCTTGATCTGAAGATGGCAAGAGAAGAAGAATCTACCACTTTCCCTTGGGAGTTTGTTCCAATGGTTAATAACCTTCATTGTTACAGGGGCACCTTACTTCTAATTATGGGTACATTTACGAGTGCTCTTTGCAAACATCTGAGGCACAGCAGTGGAGTCCTTCCCCTTTCTAGTGGGATGAGGATTAGTTTAATAGAAAGTCCCTGCTTTCCTAGGCAGTTGAATGGGAGCTAAATTGCGTGAGTCATAAGCAAAGCTGCTTGTTTGCTGGTTATTATACTTGACACACAAAATAAGTAATTTCCTCTGTTTTATGTTTCCTCTGCGTTTGTTAACCCCTTTGTAGACCCTGGGTACAGTCAGGAAATAGACCCGCCCACCCCCTGCAACCAACTTATATGTCACATTTGCCCTGTTCACCAGTCACTATTTGCATGACATGCCCTGTTTTATGTCTCTGTATAGACACAGAGTAGACCCTATTATAATACAAACAATCTGTGAACAGGTCAGTTCTTTTCCCTAAAGAGCTCACCATTTAAATAGACAAAGGGCAGGAGGAGAAACTGAGGCGTGGAGAGGGAAAGGGACATGGCAGGTTTATAGAAAGGAAGCCAGGCATCCTGAATTGCAGTCTTTTGGGCAATGCTCCCTCAAAAGGGTCTTCTGTTTTTTAGCAGCCATGCAACCTTGCCTCTAAGGCTACGTCTTCACTACCCGCCGATCCGGCGGGTAGCAATCGGTTTATCGGGGATCGACTTACCGCGTCTCGTGAGGACGCGGTAAAATCGATCCCTGATGGCTCTACCGTCGACTCCGGAACTCCACCTCGACAAGAGGCGGTAGCAGAGTCGGCGGCAGCGCGGCAGCGGTCGACTTTCCCGCGTCCTCACCGCCAGGTAAGCCGACCTAAAATACGCAACTTCAGCTACGGTATTCACGTAGCTGAAGTTGCGTATCTTAGGTCGGAAGTCCGCTGTAGTGTAGACCTAGCCTTAGGTAAATCTAGCTGCCGCCTTTGAGCTCACAAGGAACACAGAGAAGGAGGCCTTGCCCAGAATAGAACTGAACTCTGCATTGAGACAGGAGAAAGAATGCAGCCGTGAGCATATGCGATGTGAGGATAGGAAAGTGTCCTTCTGTAAACCATTTTATGGGGGGAAATCTAATGAATAAAAAAAGTTTCATTAAGACAACCAGTAAGTTAAGGTGAAGGAAGGAGACCTGGTGGGAGCTCTGGGATGCGGTGCTGATGGAATCGGACACGCCCCAGGCACACGTTGCGCTAGGGAAAGTGCGGTGGAAACTTTGAGGCATTTAAACACTTGTGTGTTGATCTCCACTCGCCCTCTGTGGGAGTGAAAGTTTGCTTAGATTTTGATTTTCTTTGCATGGCCGGTGGCTCCAGCTGCACAATGTCATGGAGAGAGCATAGGCCAAGATACATGAGCACCCACCAAGGTGAAATTGATGGCTGTGACAGGAAGATGCAGTTTAGAAGCACTTCCTGTGGACAATGGACGGCCCTGCCTGATCATACTCTTGTTTGCTGATCCACATCTGCTAGAAAGTAGAGAGGGACACCAGGATGGAGCCACCATCCTTTCGGCCTATTTACACTGAACAGGGCGGAGACAGGAAGATAAGTTGTTAGTGGTAACAGCCAGATGGCTGAGCCCTATTTTGGTAGGTTCTGTGCAAAGGAGATGGCAGCCCTTGGAGAGCTTGCAATTTCTGTATAGATTCATGCACTCTAGGGCCAGAAAGCACTGCTCGGATAATCTAGTCTGAACTGTACACAGAGGCTGTAGATTTTTTTCCCCAGAAGCTAGATTAAAGCATGGCATTTTTGAAAGAGATTTAATCCCCTTTGAAAGACTCCAAGTGATGGAGTCCATCACCTCCCTGGTGAGCTCTTCTAGTAATTAATCACCTTTACTGCTAGGAAATCATGTCCTATTTCACTGTTAAATTTGTCTAACTTCAACTTCCAGTCACTGGATCTTATGTCTTTATCTGCTAGGCCTGATCTGCACTACAAAGTGAGGCTGACGTAAGTCACCTTGCGTCAACCTATTTATGCATGAGTCTACACTCAACTTTATTTCCCATCAACGTAAGCACCCCATTGCTGCAATGCAGTAACACCACCTCCCCACAAGATGTTGAGCCATGGTCGATATACTGTGGTCTATACAGTGCGAGTGTAGACACTGCATGGCCTATGTGTGCCCAACAATGACTGCTTTGGTCACAGTTGTGAACTCCACTGTCTAGGGGTCACAGAAACCAGAAGCTCCCCCCCACCACCACCACTACTTTAAAACCTCTGTGTATTTTTGAAATGTCTTTTCCTGATTGCCCAGCTTGGCGAGCACATCTAGGAGCTCTCCCTGTTGTGTTCAACTACCTGATTGATGGTGCTGGTTACACACTAGAAGCATTCCTGCCTGGAGTAGACAGGAGATATTGGATCTCCTGGGCCTGTGGGGAGAAGAGGCTGTGTATAAACAGCTATGGATCAGCCATAGAAACATGGACATCTATGAGAAGATTGCACAGGGGATTCAGGCAAAAGGGTACATAGGGGTCAGCAGTAGTGCTGTGTGAAAGTGAACGACCTGCACCAGTCATACCACAAAGGCCAGGACGCCAACAGTTGATCTGGTGCCAAGCCACTGACCTGCTTTTACAAAGAGCTTCATGCCATACTTAGCAGAGACCCCCACCAGCACCCCACAGACCACCATGGATATCTCAGTGAAGCCGGAGACAGAGACCCCTGCCGTGAACATTGAGGAGAAGGGACGTGTGGCGGGGTGGGGGTCTAGCTATCCCGCAAGCCAGGGCCTTTTTCAAGACTCCAGTGCAGTCAAGCAAGTCCCACCAGCTGAACACAGATGAGCCTGATCCAAGAGAAGGAACCTCAGGTAAGTGTGTGCATTCATTCTGCCTTAAAAAGTTTAAATGTGAAGATGGCACCTGGCCCAACCCTAAGCTAGCAGGACACAGGTATTTGCTTTTCATTATTTTGCTCATACTAGAAGATGTAATGATACAACAGAGATAGAGTGGTTGTCTGCTTTTCATTCCCCTCTAGGTTTAAGTGGGAGGGAGAGTCATGTGGAGCCATTTGTACATGTACATAGGGTGTCCTCCTGAGAGATCTCATTAAAACTTTCATGGAGGTACTCTGCAATCCTCTCCTGAGGGTTTCTAGGGATGGCTGCCATATTTCTTCCTCTGTGGTAGGACACTTTCGCACACAAGTCCACGATGACTTCGGCAGGCACCATTGCAGTCAACAGGCTAGTGGCATATGGGCCCGGGCAACTTCGGGATGCCAGCAGCAGCTCTGCTTTCTGTGCCTTTGTCACCCTCAGGAGTGAGATATCCGCTAAAATCACCACCACCGGTGGAAAACAGTGCCAGTCTGCAGTGCCATTGCTCTGTACTTGTGGAAATAGAGGCCAAATGTTTTTTGTTTTATGCAATCAAACAATTCCCTCCTCGCCCCCACCACCCCCGTGGGCCGTACTCACCATGGTTGTAGCTGAGCAGTGCTGTGCAGAGCCACTCCAAAGTTGAAGTGTCAATAAGAGTGTCTGATTTAAAACTTGTATGGGAGTAAGGGAAGGGAGTTCTGAAAATTATCTTTCACTTTTCGTTGTGACTGTAAATCCAATGAAACATCTGTCGTATCTAGAGCTGTTGCTGTTGTGGCCTTGGGGGGTGCCCCCTGCACACCTGTGAAATACCTCACCCAGAGGAGGAGAAGAAGAAAGAAGCAAACTAGGGAGGATATGTTCAGTGAGATCCTGCAATCCAGTGCTGCATTGGACAATGAACAGAGAGCCTGGAGGGTGAATATAGCAGACAGCCTGGAGAAGGAAAGAGTGGACAGAAGACAGGCCCAGGAGTCTGAACAGGAAAAGGAGAGCAAAATGGAGATGCACCAGGAATTAATGGAGCTTCTCAGGCAGCAAACACAAAGGCTGCAGATTTTAGCTGACCTATAGGACCAACAATCATGGACACGCCGTCCTTTGCAGTTCCTGGA